GCTGACTCTCTGGCAGATTTTCCTGAGGCAGTTAATACAGCACGGGAGGAGCCCATACCTCTGGTGGTAGTTGGCAATGGGCTGTCTTTGCCATGTTAATGAGTCACAAGGAGCGTAAGATGGGTCACAAGTCCACCTCTTCTGAAATATGATTAAACTAGCATTCCAGAATTAGAGGTGAGAGAATGGTAAGCCATCAGAAGATCACCTGGAAACTGAAGCTCAGAAGAGACAAGGACCTTTCTCTACAGGCATTAGGGAAGCCTTCCCTCAGAGCCAGACCCTGATTCATGACTTCTAGCCTGAGCAGTTAAAAACAAATTCCTGTTTGGTGAAGGCATCCACTTGCGGTATTTCTGTGATAGCACCACTAGACAACTAAGATTTCCACCATTAACTTTTTTGCCTTGCTATTTTCATCTGTTGATGATGGTGCATTAAAGAAATTTCCCCCCCCAGGATATACCACATGGTAGTTTTCTAATTATCTCATTTCTTCTGTGTGGTAAAACTTTCCCCTCACAAATAAGGTTGTTTTAAATAACCTTAAAATACATTTTACAAATAAGGCAGAATAAAGTCTTTATTCTTTGCTCTAAACGAAATTTCCAAGTAGGGAGTTAGTTCTTTTGACACATCCAGTGGTGTCCAATGAATTGTTGCTGTTTTTTTAAGAATCATAAAAAATAGATGGCTTAGGGAACTCTGATGGCCTAGTGGCTAGAAGCTGTGCAGCAATCCCAAAGGCTTGTGGTTCGAATCCATCAGTGGCTTTGCTGGAGAAGGAGGGGCAATCTCTTCCTGTGCCAGTTGGATCTGATTTGACGGTACACAACAAGGGAAAAAGAAAGAGTGGAAATAAGGTTGATGGAAATAAACAATATGCTTCATAAGAAAACAAAACAAAAAACAGATGGCACAGATGGCTTTGAAAGGATGTATATATTTCCCATTTTTTTTAACCAATAACTAATTGCATTCTTTTTTCCCCATGCTTAAATTATTCCATCCTTAGCCAAGAGGAGACCCTACATATCCTGTTTTTAGGTATAAAAATTTATCTCAGGCTCACCCTGTGCATTTCTTTGTGATTCCCATAGGATATTCTGGGTTTTTATGAGAACAGTTTTTCAGAAACAACAATCCAAATATATTGTGCACATAGTTTTATTATTTCTAAGTTTTCTCAGTGGACAGAACTAAGAAATGTATAGGTTTCCCCCCTCCCCCTTTTATACTGGCTTATTTACAAAGTTAGAATTTATTGTTTTTCATACCAGATCTTTCCCATTTCCTTCACCCCTCCACCCATCCAATTGTATGCTCCATGATTAAACACCCCTCCCCACCCATACTCACCCCTCTGCTTTCACACCCCCTGGATCTGATCTTCATACATGTTTGACAATAATGGTTTTATATTGTATTTGTCCTTACGGGACTGATTTTGTTCACTCAACGTAATACTCTCTAGTCCCTCCCAAGTTAGGTAGTAATTTACAAAATCATTACTCCTGCATGCTGCATAGTATTCCATTGTGTGAATGTACCATAATTTCTCAATCCATTCAACTGTGGTTGGACATCTGGGCTATTGCCATATTATTGTGATGGTGAATAATGCTGCTATGAACAATGGTTTACAAGTCTCCATTTGTGCCTCAGTTCTCATTTTCTTGGGGTATATTCCAAGCAGTGGAATAGCTGGGTCATATGGAATTTCTATGTTCAGCTCTTTGAGAAAGCACCAAACTGCTTTCCAGAGTGGTTGTACCATTTTACAATCCCACCAACAATGTACAAGAGTTCCTATCTCATCGGTATAAAAAAAAGAAATAATTTCTTTTTAATTTTAATTAAGAGTTACTATCTCCTTGCACCCTCTCATTTATTGCTTGCTTTCCTGTTAAACTTTGCCACTGCTGCTGGAGTGAGATGGTATCTCATTGTGGTTTTTATTTGCATCTCTTTTACTGTCAGTGATTTTCAAATAACTTCCTCTGTGAACATTTTTTCCTTGTCTTTTGCCCATTTCATAACTGGAGAAACGTATATTTTACAAAAGAAAAGAAAAGATTATACTGATATTCTGTTTTAGATTTAATTATTTTTATTTCTTAAGGTTTCATGCTTGTATATACTTTGTTTTCTATGAAATATCTAGGTTCCAAACTTTATTACCATAAAGTTTAAAAGTAGCAATATTTTTTTCTTATTGAAAGATAATTTTTCTAACATTATTGTTCTAGCATATTGCACTAAAAATATACAAATTACTTTCTCCCATCAGCAGTTAAATATTTTCCACAAATTTAATAGACAATTAAATTCCTTTATTTCAGTTTGTTTTCACATTTTGGGCTTCACTTTTCCTCTCTTGTTTCTCTTGTTTATTATTTTGTATCTATAAAATGTGTTTTCAAAGTTAAAACAATATATTATTTGAAACTCTTCAATTCTGTCTTCCCTACCTAGTATCCTTGTTCCCCTTCTGGTAACTGTTCCTTAATAATGAAGTGATTATTAACTTAGGACGGTCACAGTTTGTTTAAGCAGCCTCTTAGTAGTATAGTTTTGTTTCCTAAAAACCAAAAATCTTATACTCACGTCTTTTCCATATTTTGGCTAGTGTGTCTTTGTGATCTAGCCCTAGAAAGGAAATGTCTAGGGAAGAGGGTGGATACATACCTATTTTTTTTCTACACTTTAGACTTTTGTTGATATACTGGATAGATCCTCTCAGTAAGAATTAAAAAATATTAAAAAAAAGAATTAAAAAAATTTTGTACTGAGAAGAATTTTCTTTATAAAAAGATATTATTGTGAATGCTCAAATTCAATATATTAGACTGTTGGAAAGCTAACATGTTTTTAAAAACCACTAGTTGTTTATTAAACCTACACACTTCCCACTATTCTCTAAGGCAAGACCTGGCACAGAGTACCATAGTTCCTGTGTTCAGCAGCATATGGTTTGTCTTTTTTGCTGCTGTTAGTTCTGTTGAGTCACTTCCAACTCCTGGCAACTTTACATATGACAGAACAAAATACTGCCTAATCCTGCACCATCATCAGGATCAGGGTCTCTTTGAGCCCATGTGTTGTGACTATTTTTAAAAATTTCTTTTAATTTGCGTTTAGTGTATTGATATCAGTTCATTTCCCCCAGAAAGGTGATTTTTAATAGTTCTTATTTATTAGCCATTCATGGCTTTTGCCTTTTTAAAAATGTTATTATTATTAATAATTTTAATGAAAATTTACAGAGACTTTGGATTTCCATTCAGTCATTGTTGTACTTTTCTTCCTGCCCGCCCCCACCCAGTACACTCTTCTCTTTGAAAAGTAAAAGAAAAATTCTTGCATTGTTTTACAATCTCTCCTCCCAAGTCGACTCCACTATGCAGCCTTCGTTCTGGACTTCTGTCATGACAGTAATACCTAATCACATATCCCTTTTAGTTCTCCATTATCTGTTTCAATACAGTATACATTATTTAGCCCATCTTTCTCAGTCTCCCCCGCAACTCCGATGTCAGTTCTGTTTTACAACAGTGGCACTAGGTCCTTTTGTGACTGAGATATTTCACTCAGCATAATGTCCTCCAGGGTCACCCATTTTGAATAATATTGCATGAGTTTCTTGTTTTTCAATGCAGCGTAGTATTCCATTGTGTGATTATACTACAGCTTCTCTGTCCATTTGTTTGTTGATGGGCACTTAAGTTGTTTCCAACTCTTTGTTATTGTGAACAAAACCACAATAAACATGGGTGGTATGCATATATCTGCTTGGGTGGCAGTTATTATCTCTTTGGGCTATATTCCCCAAAAGTGGAATTGCTGGGTCAAATGGTATCTCTATTTGAGACTTTTTAAGAAAGTGCCACACCACCTTCCACAGTGGTTGCACCATTTTACACTTCCACCAACAGTGAATAAGGCTTCCAATTTCTCTACGACCTCACCAGCATTTGTTGTTTGCTATTCTGACCGGGGTGAGATGATATCTCATAGTTGTTTTGTGTTGTGACTATTTTGTCAGTTCATCCCAATGAGAGTCTCCCTGATTTTCACTGACCAAACATGACACTCTTTTCTAGAGACTGGCCTTAACTAGTCAGTCTAGAGGGAGCTCTAGTAGGGCACTCAGTAGAGAGTGTTGCTGTTAACCCAAAGGCCTCACATCTCTTGAAGGGGTTCAAATCTACCAGCAGCTTCAAGGAAGAAAGATAAGCGGTCTCTTTTTGTTATGATTTAAAGCCTTAGGACCTGATATACGGTCACTGTAATAAGTCAGAATTGACTCAGTGTCAATGAGCTTGAGGATTGGGTTTTTTGGTTTTCTTTTGTTTTGTTTTTTTAAGTCTGTCTAGGGACACATGAATGAGAAGCAAAGATAGAGGGGGTTAAAGTAGAATATATTACAGAGACATAAGTGAATGCCTAGCTCAGGTCTCACCTCTGTAGGAAGCCTTCCCCACTTAACATCAGGCCACATGAGCCCCTGGTTTCTTGAATCTCATTCATGAGCATTTTTAGTGACAGTGATCTTCTGCTAAAACCTGACCTTCTGACATTGGTACAATAAATATGAGTGTCCTAACAAGGTGTACTAACAAAGTGTGCTAACAGCATCGAACATTCAAGATTTGAGAAGCCTCATAATTTAAAATGGAATGATGATTATAGAGGTGTATCTGCAGTTTGCCAAAGCAGATTTTCTGGAAACCTGGATGTTAGCAAAGATTGTAAGGTAAAACCATACTGGAAATGCTGGACTAGTGTTAATGAGGTGTGACTTTCTAGAATCTGTTTTACATCCCAAGTTTACAGGACACAAAATCCCTCCATGCACAGAGCATCTTATATTAATGATATTCCATGGAGCCCAAAGAATCAGCTTCTTTTAAATAAACTTCAAAGTATTTTTTTTCCAGTTGGTTTATTGATATACTTCTGTGCTTTTGAGTAATAATTTTTCTTTTGTTTCTTTTTAGATTGAATCTTTAAAGAAAAAGGTGCAACAGAAACAGCTGTTGATATTACAACTCTTAGAAAAGATATCTTTCTTAGAAGGAGAGGTAAGAAACTGTTTCTTTAAGATGGTGTCTACTTCACCATTAAATTTAATGTTTTAGAGCTGCTACCAACACTTAATTAAAAATATGGCCATTTCCTGCCTTATAAAATTGATTGAAGGTTAACTGCCAACACTGAGACTGAGGTTTTGACAGCTAGTTTTTCTGTAGCACCCGACTCTCCTCATTCCAGCTTGCTGCCCACCTCGCTTCCTGGCTGTAGTTTTTCTTGTTTAAGAACTTTCTTTACAAGCCTGATAAGCTCTTGGTTAATACTGATAATGTCCTATGTTTGTGCTGTGCTCTGTAATGTATATCTTCGCCTACATTCCTCACATAATTCTCTCAACAGCTTAAAAGAGGCAAGATGATACTTTGTTTATCTCTGCTAATGAATGAAAAAGAACCCGAGACCCTGAAGAACAAGTGATTTTGCTTGAGGTCACCCAGCATGGTGAATGCCAGAGCCAGCTGAAGTATAAAACAAAACAAAAAACCAAACAGAAACCCTACACAAACCCTTGTTGCCATTGAACCGATTCTGACTCATAGTAACCCTATGTTGTTGTATACCTTTGATTTGGAATTGACCCATAAGTGACCCTCTGGTGGATTTTCAGAGGCAGTTAATCACACCGCAAAAGATTGCCCATCCTTCTCCTGTGGAGCAGCTGGTGGTTTTGAACGGTGTGCCTTCAGGATTGCAGTACAGCTTCTTGCCACTAGGCTACCTGTCCTCTCTACTAATCCTATAGAACAGAGTAAAACTGACCACAGAGTTTCCAGGACCATAATGTTTAAAGAAGGTGGCTACCACATTTTTCTCCTGGGGAGTGGAAGGTGGATTTGCGTCACAGACCTTACGGTTATCTCTTGAGCACATTGCCAGAGCTCCTTGAACATACGTTAGCAGTGACTTCATTTCACCTGAGGAGTTCTAGTGGCATAGTCAATAAGGAATTTCACTTCTTACCCAAAGGCCAGACATCTCCAGGAGTTCGATTCCCCCAGTAGCTCAGCAGGAGAAAGATGGACAATCCATGTCAACGCACACCTTGGAAACCCAATGGAAGTTCCCCGGGAGTCAGAACCAACTCAACAGCAGTGAGCTTGAATTTTCATTTCACCTGGAACTTAAAAAAAAAAAAAAAGTTTCATGTTGCTGACTTTCTTGCCTTTTGGAAGCCATTCTGTGGATTTTGTGTAGATTCCAGAGAAGGAAATGATGGGATATGAATTACTGTAAGAGCTTGGATATTAGTAGAAAGAGAAGGCAAACATCTATTTTATTAAGAGCTTGGCATTGAGCCCTTTCTTTGTGAGCTGCTTTGGTTTGCCAACCACTTGTCCTTGTCTGTGTTCCTCATGATAGCCCATCCCCAGTGAGAGAGCACGGAGAGGGCGGTGAAGGACGGAGAAAGGAAAGATGTGACATTTACTAAGCACCCCGTATGTTTTGGGTGCTATTCGATATTTTTATATAACTTACAGGTGAAGAGTGGACTCACACATCTCCAAATTTGAATGTGGGAGCCTCTTCTTATGACCTGGGTGATGTTGGAGAAGTTTTTACAATTATGAAATGGGGATGATAGCAGCACCTGTGTGTGGATGCAGTGAAGTGAGAATATGCTTTGCCTGGCATGTACGAAAATAACAACAACCAAGCGGTTGTCATGGAGTCAGCTCCATGACTCCAGGACTACTCAGGTAGTCTCGTGTATGCCAGAGTAGAACTGTGGTGCGTGGATTTCAGGGGCTCATTTTCCCCATGTGGATCACAAGGTCTCTTTGGGAGGATATCTCTGGGTGGGCTGAAATGTCTGGTGTGTTGGTTAGCAACCAAGAATGTTTATCTCCTAGGAACTCCTGCCATGTACTAAACACTTGTTATTTAACTTTATCTAATTGTTCTTTCTTTATTAAAAGAGATGTCCTATAGTTTAGAGGGGAACTCTAGTGGCCTAGTGGGTAGGAAGTTGTGCTGCCAACCAGAAGTCCACCGGTTTGAATCCACCACCTGCATAAAGGGAGAAAAATGGACAGTTCCCTCCCATTTGGTGTATAGACTCTGAAAACCCGCTGGAGGGCCAGTTCTGAGTTGATTCTAACTTGATGGCAGTGAGTGAGTGAGTATGAGCAGATGGAGTAAATAAGATTCAGGGACATTAAGGAACTTGCCTGAGCCTATAGGTAGGGATGGATAATCCTGAGTCCAGAGCCTGAACTCTTAATCACTGTGCTTTCAGGGATGGTGAGCTGCACCGTCATTACGCCCTCCTTTTGTGATGTTGTCTACCAGTCAGTCCTGTGTGTTCTAGGTGGCCCATGTAGTGACATATTCAAAACCCAGGAATATGAGTCTCCTGACAGCAGGAAATGAGTACTAGCTCTAAAGCCACCTGTGTCTTCACTGTGCCTGACTCCAGTCTATGATGAACATTTTTGAAAATTTTATTATGATTTGAGTTAAAGTTCATAAATCATAATATTTTTTTATTCAATCATTCATACAAATTTTTATAATAGTAAGACAACTAAGTAATTAATGGCAATGTTTTATTAACCCCTTATTGTATATTATCTCTCCATTCACCCAGCTTAATAAGTATCTATTATCTGTTTTTTTACTTAACTTTTCCTTCCCTTCCAAGCCCTAGTAACCATCCACAAATGATTCTATGTGTAAACCTGTCCATAATTTTTCATCATAGTAGTCTAATACAATATTTATCCTTTGTGACTGACTTATTTGACCCAGTGTAATGTCCTCAAGCTTCATCATAGTAAGTGATTTTGATCAAATTCTTTATTGTTTTTCAGTTGTATTTGAATGTACTGTAGTTTCTTTACCATTTGTCTGTTAATGGACACTTGGGTTGTTTCTGTCTCTTTGCTACTGTAAATAATGCTGCAGTGAGCATGCGTGTGCATGTATCAGTTTGTGTTCTTTTTTGAGATATTTATCTACCTACTATTGGCATTGCTGGATCAAGTAGTATTTCCATTTTTCATTTTTAAAGGGAGTACCAGGAAGCTTTTTGTAGATAGTGTTTGCACCATTTTATATCCCTACCAGTATGAGTCTGGGTCTGAGAGTTCCAGTCTCTTCACAGCCTTGCCAGCATTTGCTGTGTACTGTCTAACTGAAGTTTGCTATTATTGTTGGGGGTAAATGATAGCTCATTGTTGTTTGATTTACATATCTTAAATATTTCTCCCCTAAGATTTCTCTTTGATATTACAGCTCTCTCTTATTTAGTTTCTTATATTTAAACTCATCAGATTCTATTAGATTCCTAAAATTTTTCTCTAGCCCAGTCCTGTCTGGCTAAGTCTTTATCAGAAATCTTCCTGATAGGAACATATGCCCATTTCCTCCCCACCCCACCCCTTTTTTCATACTTCCAAATCAATCAATCAACCATCTCTGTGGAGTTCTGGTGACCAAGTCTGTGGACAGTATGCTGCTAATGCAAATGTGTTGTCTGTCTGGCAATTTGAACCCACCAGCAGCTCCTCAGGAGAAAGATGGACAGTCTCCCGCCATGAGATTTATAGCCTTCGAACACCCACTAAGGAGTTAGAGATGAGTCAATTCCAACTTGACAGCAATGAGTTGAGTAATTGCATTGATATACGTATAGGAGCTCTGATGGCCTAGTGAGTAAAGAGTTGTACTGCCGACCCAAAGGCGGATGTTTGAATCCACCAGCTGCTCTGAGGAAGAAAGATGGGCAGTCTCCACCTGTGTGATTTACAGGCTGGGAAACCCAATAGTGAGTCAGCTGTGAATCAGAACCGATGCAACAACAATGAAAGAGAGATGCATGCGATAAAGTTACCTAGAATTGAATGCACATATGCATGCATAAGTACAAGTAAAACTGGGACTAGGAAAAAAATGGAATGATTTTATCAATATTAGTATCCTAATCATGCTATTGTGGTATGGTTTTGCAATATGTTATTACAGGGGGAAATTTGGTGAAAGATACACAGAATCTCTCTATATTATTTCTTATAACTGTAGGCCAACCTACAAATGCTGTATTTAAAAAGAAAAAATTTCATTTAAAAATGCTTTCTTAAAATGTCAAATGTCTTGATTTTGTTTTTTCTTCATCTAATGTATGTTGTATCATACATAAACTTCTCAGCGTGTCTGTTTTGCATTTTTGGGACTAGAATTAATGTCTCTGTATAGTAGTGAGGTGGCAGCACCAGGCACCAGAGCCCTGGAAATGCATTTTTCTTGCGCACACATTCTTGTTCAGAGCAGGTACTCCAACTCCAATTCCTTGCTCCTCTGGGCCTGATGGTGTTGGAGACAAGGTGTCTGTTATACATTTGTCCAAAAAGGTGTCACACTTGATTCTTCCTTCCTAAGGGACATGTATGCCTTCCAGGCTCCAGGGAGGCATGCATTACCCATATAAACACAAGGTGGTGGTGTTTGAAAGCCAGAGCCTCTGGAACTTGATTCTCCATCCCTGAGGCAGTGTTCTCCAGAGCAGCATTGCTTAGTCACAGTCTGCAGGACTGAAGAGTTGAAGGGCTTTACTGCACTGTATTGAACCTGTCAATTTTATTAAATATTTCTTAAATCTGTGGTCACCTTTCTAACTTGGCTTCTTCTGGTCATGCTAAGGCTTCTACCTTTTTTTTTTTTAAGAATTAGCTTTATTATTTACTAATTTATATAAATAAAGTGCATCTATCTAAAGTATACCATTTGGTGGATCTTGACTATTGAATGTCTCTTGAAAGAACCATCACAATCAAAACATGGAAATTTCTATCACTCCCTTAGAATTTTCTGTTTCCATTAATCCCATGAAACTACCAGGATTATTTTTATTGTTGTTTTGTTCACTTTAATCTCTTTTTATTACTATGATGCCATTGAGTCAAGCATGACTCATAGTGACCCTTTGAACAAAAGGCCTGAAGCCTTTTAAAACTATTGTCTTTTCTCCAAGTTCATAGAGTTTCCAGAGGCA